AAAATCCTGTACTATGCTAGAAACCTATACGAAGCGGCGAGGCACAGTGTCGCAGTGTGGGCGAAATTTCGGTTAAAATCAAAAAACAATCGCGAGAAATTTAAGGACATTTTAAAAGCTTACGTAACCAGAGATAAATAAGCAGCTAAGGAGTACAAAAGCGAGCAATGCAAATTTTTTTTAAATCTAAATGAATGTTTTTTAGCAAAAAAAAAAAAAATATACATGCAAATTGATTAAAACTGAAAATCATCCACCAAAAAATATTGAATTGAATTGAATATTGAAATCGATATTTCAGCACTCAAAGCAGCCGCCATTTGGCAACTCGAGTTTTCATCGACCTTTCACAGACTTTAGCCGCAATCATATAACAATTTCAACCTCAATATTACTATGAACAGTTTTCCTTCGCCGCTGCGACGCTCATTGCCTTCATTTCTCTTTTCAAATTAACTTTCGCTGCTTCTAATTTCCTTACCCTGCCAGGAATAGGGGCCCTGTTATTTGGTCCCTGTTTATTGCCTAACCTCGTACTTCCGCCTCGTTTAATTCCATTCCGTTTGCACTCTATTTATTTCAGCTCGACTTTATGACTCGTCTCGATTGTTATGCACCCAACTGGCTGGCACCCATTGTGGTTCGCGTTCCAATGAATTAATCTCGGCCAGCAGCTGTTGATATGCCCGATCTGTGTCGTTGTTTATGATTATCATGTCGAAGAGATGACCCCAGCGCGCCTCCATGTCGCGTGCAGTGGCTATAATGTCTTTGAGTTCCTCCTCCTGAAAGAGATACGAGATTATTTAATAATGATAGTCAAAAGATGATGAGTTTGTAAGCTACGATCGACTCAGTCCAAAACAAAATAATAAAGTGAATTTTATCAATGCAAATCTACGAGCCAGGGAAAGAGTTTTTAGATGCACCGCTGTCTGAAGGAGCACTTCAAGAGCTCGCGTCATGCGGAAATTTTCCGCTTGCATAAAACCACCTGCGATAGCTACAACCCGGATGTAAGCGCTACTTCGTTATATTCTCATAGTGTAGATCTAACTGACGCTCTCTTGAGGCAACCACAGATCGCCTTTTGCAGCTTGGGCTCCGAAGTAAGTTAATTGGCACTCGGTAAACAAGGTTCGAGGCTTGGTGATTGCGCTAACCTGGCAAAATATCCCAACAGAATTTCAAGAGTAATACTTCAGAGAGGATGCGAGAAGCTGACACCCCCGGGTTCGAACCGTAGGCACAGTTTTAAGAGGCCTTTGAGCTATAGTTTTTCATAACTGAAAAACATTTAACATGGGCGCAAAGTAAGGTGAAACGTGAACCCTAATAGCGCCTGTCCCTTGGCCGGGACCTAACGTAAGGCTTTCGATGGCTGACGAATTGGCCAGGAAAGGCACTTGTGAAACGTTATCGCCGGATAAAGAGCAGCTGCGAGTGTCATTGATCACTTTTGGATAGATGGGCCTCATGTCAGCTCAGCGACCGCTGGGCGAAAACCAGGACATGCGCGATCGCATTGGTCCTTCTAGCCAAGAGGTCGAGGACGGTTGAAGGCACTCCTCACACTTACAAAGCCACAGCTCTCACTTTTGGTGGGGGTTTTAACGGGTCACTGTCCAATCGGTATTCACGCAGCAAGGCTAAGGATACTACCGGACGCCGTATGTCGCAGTTGCTTGGAAGATGACGGGGTTGGAATCACTTCCAACACTACCTTTTTAGGTGCCCAACATTTGCCAGGCTAAGATTGGCTCCTACATTCTTAATAGCCCTGAGGAACCCTGGGGTATCGAGATTAGCCGAATTTGTAAATACATAATCGGCTAGGGGCGTTTTATCGATTAAGTATTGGGTGCCGTCCAGAATGTTGTATCACAAAAGGACAATCTCTCAATTGTCTAAGTGAGCCCTGGTTACACGGGCTGCCACCTAACCTAACCTAAGGCTGCGATGAAAAATAATATTTATAAGATGGTAGAACTCCACACCAAGCCCTTTAGGCGTATTGCTTTCAGCACTTAATAAAGTGCTAAATGCTTTTGTGGAGTTTTATTCTAAGGCAAATACTGGGATCTCTGACTACTAGATGATCGCAACTTGGATCTTTAATTCTTCAACTTGTCGAAGAGATGTGCTCCTGATTTGCATCATAAAAGAAACAATTTTCTTCCACTCACCTTGAACGGTTCGCCATTTCGGATTTTCTTCTGCCGCAGTTTATCGAGACTCGGTGGCGCCACCAGCACTACATACGGCTTCAAATCGGAGGCGCGCAACAATTTCAAACTCTGTGGATGGAGGTTCAGTACACAGATTTTACCGCTCGCCACCACTGTACGTATGGCCTCCAGCGAGGTGCCTGCAATGATGGAGGAAATTCGAAGAGTTGAGAGAATATGCAAGGATATGTGAAAATTGCAATTTACTTAATTCGTTTAAAAAATAGGATATGAAAAGCACTCACACATGCAACACAGAGTGAGCATGTATGTGTATGTAAGTACATATGTACTTTTAAATAACTCACCATAGTAAGCCTTCTCGTATTCGCCATGTTCGACGAAGCGGCGCGCCAGTATGTCCGCCTCAAAGGCTTGGCGCGTGATGAAGTGATAATCAACGCCGGGTACTTCACCTTCGCGGCGCGCACGTGATGTATCTGCGGGGCAAAGAAGGTGCAAAAGAAGAGGGAAGAGAAGACAGCAGAGGTAAATAAAAAATAAAGTATGTATGTATGACGGCAAGTTAGAGTGAGTGAGAATAAATGAGTAGATTAAGGGGAGGTGGAGGTGGTGTGGAACTGAAGTAGTTGCAGGTAAGCGGCTTGCGCGGCACGGCGTAACAGATTGGCTGACATATGAAAAGCATGCTGTGCTTGTGGTAAGCAGCTTATGTGTGCGTATGAGTGTGTATGCATGAGCTTTTGCGGCAAAAGATAAGCCAAGGATGCTGACAGCGCTGTACTGCTGATTGAATTGGAGATGAAAATTTTTGGCTTTGACTGCAGCAATTAAGTCGTTAGTGACACAGGCCTACAAACAAATATATTCTTGAGCGCGAAGATGGTAGTCGCGCGCCTTTAATATGCGTTTTATATTGCAAGGCTACGAAAGGATTTAAGGGCAAGCTGCCGGATGTATCTGCGTTGGTTTGGCTGTGCGCGCAGCGTGCGCCGTGTGTGAAGTAGAGCGCAAGGAAATCGCCGCTTAATTACTTCTGCGTGCGACTGTTAATCAGATATATTAAAGCGGATGGAAAGCATGAAGTATTTTCACAGTGGGACGAAATGGGATTGCGATTACTGAAATTTCGAGCAACTTTTTTCAACTCTAACTAAATGAAGAGTGCAATTTAATTTTGTGTATATTTTTTTGAAGATTTACCCTTTTTCAGTTTCTCCTCTAACAAATAGAAAACTAAAAGCAAAAACGAAACAGGAAAATTTTTTGATAAAAAGGCGAGTGTTTAAAAAATCTCGCGAGCAAAAATATTTTTAGGCAAACAAAAAAAAACTAAAAAGTGATGATGCAAATAAAAAAATATTTAAAAGTAAACAAATTGGAAAATTAAGTCGCAAAATTCGATAAAGAAAACCACTACAAAAATCGGCTAACGAACTCAGCTTCGTAATATACAAACTAATAAGAAATACAAAAAAAAATCTCTTTTGATCCAAAATTATGGAAAACCGGTAGTAAGGAGAAATTTAGCATTCTACAGCCGAGCCACGCACGCCGAGCAAACCTACTGCAACGATTACTTATTTTCCCCAAACTCACGTGGCACTGCCGCCGAGAAGCGATCCGAGTCGGCCATCAGGCGCTGGCGCAGCTCGTGACGTCCGATATTTGGTGGCCCGATCAGCACAATGGGCCGTTTGTGTGTGGCACGTGGATAGTATAAGGCGACCTCTTCGTAGGTGAGTATTTCCTCGGGGTCCGTTTCGTCGGGCGCCGTCGTTGCGTACAACGGATAACTGAAGAATGAGAAAACTATTAGTACTTAGCCTCACAAATTTTAGATGTTCGCTACTCACCCTGCTTCCGAGCTGGCCTTCTTCTTCTTCTTTCGTCCCTTGCGCGCGCATAGCAGCGTCGCACCCTTGTTGCTATCCTTGCCACGACTGCGCGCCAACCCCGCCTCCTCGGCAATGGCCAACTTCATGGTCTCGCGCTGATGCTGAAACGATTGACTAGGTATGAGACCGGCCAGCGTTTGGTCCTCTTCGCCTTCGCGATACGCCTGCCACCAGTTGGGATCGTCGCGCGAAATCACGTGTAGCACATCACCTTTCTGGAAGCTGATGCCGAGCTCGCGACATGGTATGTACAAATCATCTTCGGGGTCGTAGTCGAAGTGGGCGCGCACATGCAGCACGGCATTCTCGCGATGGCCGCCGCCCGGTGGTGGACTTCCCGCCGGTACAATAAGGAAGGTCAGCGTACCCTGCATGGAGCTTAGCAGAGCGCACACCTCGTTTACCGTTTTGCCGCGCAGCTCTTGCCCGTTCACCTCGAGTATTTCGTCGCCTTCGTGCAGCAGCCCTGACTTCTCGGCAGCTCCGCCACGTACTATGCGTCCAATGACGACCGCCTCACCCTCGTTGCGCACCGTCGCGCCCAGCGGTTCCGTGGACTTCTCAATCTGTATGATGCGTATGTTGTCGTTCTGATCGTTGAGCGTGCCGAAGCAGGCGCTCAATGGCGGCGAATCGGCGCGCATCGGTTGTTTCATAAAGCCACCATGTTGCGGCGGCACTGGCGGCGCGTGCTGTGTCCCAGCTCCACCCACTACATTCGGCGGCAGTGGCATGGCACTGCGCTGCGCTAGCGGCGGCGGCACCACAGGTGGAGCCACGGCTGTGCCGCGCACCGCTGCGCTCTTCGGTAGAGGCACTGGCGCAACACCGGCACCTGCTGATGTCTGCTGTGGGCTGCTCGTGCCGCTGAGCGTTGGTGACGGCGTGGCATCGGTGAGTGTCGCTACCCGATCATGCGCTAACAGCAGACCCTCCATTTCATGACTCGTCAGCAAATTACCCAGCTCAATGGCGGCGGCGGTATTCGATTGCGTCAGCAGTTCCACGATATCCTTTTGTAGCGTAGAAGCATTTGCGCTAACCGGGTTGGCAACCCGTGGGCGACGGCGCTGCAGTACCGCGGTGCGCGCAGCAAGCGCATGAGCCACACCCGCGCCGCTCAGCACATTGTGGGCAGCCGACACTCGGCCTGCAAGTGTGGACATGCCATTTTTGGTGAGTTGATTCTGCAAGCGTGTCAGCGCGGCGATCAGCTCGCCGTAGCCTGAAGAGAGAGTGAGAGAGAGAGAAACAATGCTTGCGACTAAAAATTTACATTCAAGCTCAAAAACTGTTGTGCTCACCATTGATCTTTTCGACCTCCTCATCGTCCATATACGCCTCATTCTCCACACCAGTTACACGCTCCGCAGCAACCGGTTGCTGTTGTGCTGCTGCCTTGTTGTCCTGCAGCGCCTTGAGCTTCCGTGAACCGCGCAGACTGTTGCGTAGAAACTCATTTTGTTGCGCGATGCGCTCTTCCTCTTCGCGCCGGCGACGCAATTGCTCCTGAAAAACAGAGAAGACGAGATTGGTCAGTTGCAGCGCTTGCCAATTGTGTGTAGCTTTGAAGCTGCGTTGGAAAACAATCAGCGCGGTCGAGAGAAATATGGGCAAGTAGTGGAGTGTTGATTGCGCGGACATTTGCTCCATTGTGGCAGCAAACGAGAAATCTCGGAAATTAGTTCATATTTAATTATACAAAAGGCAACTTAGTGGAAGATAAACAGCGAATGCAACCCTACAAATGAAAGCAGGCAAACTTTCTTTTCTGCCCGCTTTCATCTTCCTCTGGCCGCACCTAACACGTTATTATGAACGTCCTCCCCAGCGCATTTGTGCCACTTAATCTTCAGCAGCAAAACAATTCGCGTAATTTAATTAGCTCGCAAATGGGGTGAATGGGCCAGTAGGTCTGTGGCCACACAAAGCCGAGGCGGCGACAGGGTGGGGGCGACAGCTGTAGTCAACCCTACGCGCGCCTGTTAAAACTGTGGCGTGCTCGGCAATAATAGTGGCGACCTCATGCCACTTGTATTCACACACATACACTTTGTGCTTGCCACATAGAGTGGCAGCACTTGAGCGTTTGCTCAAAGACATAAATGACAAAAACAAATCGCTACACTTAGAGACTGCAGTTGCTTGATAGGCTATTAGGAGGGTGGGTACTTAAGAGATGACAGGATGGAGGGTTAAGTATATAAATGCTTTGATATTAAGTAGGGGGAGCACCACAGATACCCCTCGAGGGAAAATGTTGAAAAGAAAATAGTAAAAGGGGTATAGGGCGTAAGGAAGTTGAGCGAATTAGTTGATGGTTGTGATCTTTCACAATAGCGAATAAGTAATTAATAAGCCTTTGAGTTTCTTAGAATAAAAAATGGAGGACTTAGTATTTTAATGAAGTTTCTTGTATGGTATGTAATATATACATACATATTCCTTATGTAGAAAGATTATATTGTCACTTGAGAATGATTTTGAGTGATAAGGTGTATATTTTTTATGCAGCAGTTGAGAATTCCAAACGATTACTATGTAGGTATAAGTGAGTCTTAGAACAGACGTGAGCACTAACACACACAGTGCTCTGATCGTTACCCTCTCGATTTCCACGCGACAGTTACGCTCTGTAAAGACCTCCTTAATCTCTACCACATATACCTACACAAAAAAATAGCACTTTGATTTGGCGGATACAATTTTAAGTATGGAAGCGAATGAATAAATAATGATAAATATGTTTTTGACCCTGGCCTGCGTGGGCATCACTAGTGCGATGAGAACAACGCCAACTGCGGCTTTCGAGGTGCTTTCTGACCTGCCTCCCCTACACATTGTAATAAGAAAAGGCTCTAATGTTTAAAGCAAGGCTCACCTCAGGGGACAGTGTAGGGGACAAGAAGCCCATACACCCTTCCACCCTCAGGGTTATATTAGGTCTTTTTCCCCCTACAGGAATAACTGGGACAACGAACGACTTAAACCCCGGAAGCCATATCTGGTATACTGACGACTCTAAGACAGACCATGGCGTCGGAGCAGGAGTTTAGGGCATATCACCCAGACTGCTCCTTTTCACCAGCATGTGTCAAGTTAACTCTGTCTTTGAGTCCCAGGTTCACGCCATTGTACTATGTCTGGGGCAGTATATAGAAAGTGGGGCAACCAAACACGAGGTAACCTCAAATATGGTGTAAGACTGTCTTCAAGTTTTGAACCGGGTGTGCCCCATATGGGCACCAGGACAGATATTCTGGCCAGAAAAGGAGCTGCACAGGGATCCATAGGCCCAGGACCTTTTACCGGTCTGCCATGGAGCCTCGTTAGACGAAACTACTATATCTGGATGAAGAACGAAGCGCAACATTACTGGACAAATACAGAAGGTTGTTACCTTGCCAGGCCAAGCCAGGCCAAGTCCATCAATCCGGATATGACAAGCACCGAAGAACTCCTTCACCTCAGTAGGTATGAAGTAAGAATTGTAACAGGCTTTCTTTTTGGCCACTATAGAGTAATGAAACACTTTCCAACATAAGAGTTATTAACTCTGACCAATGTGGGTTGTGCAACCAAGAACAGGAAACAGCAGAGTACATTATGTGCCACTGTGAAGCCCTCACCAGGAACAGACTTGGCTTCCTAGGATCAACGTACTTAGAAGCAAATGACCTAAAAGGGATTCGGACAAAGGACCTTGCGAGGTTACTTAGCAGTACGTACATACATGGATCCATTGGCACCAAGCTCCTCGGAATATACCCCTGTCGCTACACCGTAGTCCATCTTGGACCCGTCAGTGTAGATACAGATAGCTTCCTTATCGGCTGCTGCATTGCGTTTTGGATAGAAACTGCACCTGTACATTCAAGCCAAAATCCAGGCTTGATACCATCGAGGTAAGGCCTAAAATTGAACTATGTCCAAAAGTTCTCGATCTCCACAGCCCAGACTCACTGAGTCGTACTGCTGAGTACATCGCGGTTTCATTTAGGCATACATCAATGTGCAACATATTGAGAACTAGATTCAGGGCTTCTGATGGGCAGGGCTCTTTGTAAGGTATTTTGTTTACCGACCTCGTAGTGTCTGCCTGAGGCTGGCCACCATACTAGGGCGCAAGAACCAAGCACTCTTCCACCCTTTATCACAATTTACCATCAACGCCACTGCCCAGAGGACCACCCGAAACCCACAGTGCGCCTTAAATGATATCTCTACTCACGCTCGCCATCCAAAGCCGGTTAAAAGTGACACGAATGTTTGCTTTGTTTGGTAGAAAGTGTGCAACGAAATGTACACACAATACATAAGTGCAACATGCAACACACAAAGTAGGTACAACAAAAAGCAAACAACAAAAGATGTATACAAATAGCAACACTCATATTGTTTTGGAGCTGCTGCCGTGGCTGCCACATTGGAAACCTGTCAAGTGTGATTACTGGCAATCCATCAGAGCGCGTGCAGGCGGAAGCAAAGGCAAACATAGCAGCGAAGCAGCGATGGAGTGTTAGAAGGGCTGCTTGCATAATTTCAATGTGGGTGTGATGGCGTGGGAGAATGGTGGCAGGGCGGGCATGGCAGTAGCTAATAGCGACGAGCGCGCAGCGACACGAATATGCAAATGCGCGTGGCGGAGAGGTATAAATGCAACAAGCGGCATGTAAACAGCACAACAAGGAAAAAAAGGCAAAAACTAAAAAGGAGAGTGTAAAAAAGAAAGCGTGAAAAGGGAATTGCAAATATAGTGCGAAGAAAAAAATCGCGCCACCCAAGGATATGTCTTTCAACGTTTGCTGCATTTTGAGTGGTGAGCGCGTTTATTTGCATGCCACACGCACGCTAGCACAATGAGCGAGCTGCAGGTATTTATTTGTTGACATGCACTGCACACATACAGACGAAAGCGATACATGCCATGCGTGCGTGTGTGCGTTGTACATCAGCAATTGGGGCAGAATATTTTATGAAAAATGCAAAACTCTTTTTTCCATATTTTTCACATTTTCGCAACTTTTTCGCTGACAAGGCAACCTTCAAAAAATGCAAAACGCTCGGCAGTGATTTACAACGAAGAAACAAATGCACATAAATTTCGCATTACAAAACAGTTGTACAAAAAATTTATTAAAACAACAAAAACTACTCATAAATTTCACAATGTAAGAGTCGGACTGCTTTTTTCTTAGACAAAATAATATTTCGCAAAAACCAATTGCCGGCGTTATTCGACATTCAAGCTGGGCGCGTGAGCGCGTATTAAGCTGCGAAAAAGCGCTGCAAAGTGATATAACGAATTTCCATTGCCAACATAGAGGATTTCGCCTGTATTTTCCGGCTACAAGAAAATTGTGTAACAAATTCTTTGGCGCAAACAATGCTGCCGCTTTTTATACGCACATAATTTACGCGAAATGCCCAAATATGTATGTTTAGCGCTTCAGACGTCAGCGAACAGCAATAAAATATGCTTTTTGCACTATGGGAAACGCACTAAAACGCACAGCAGGTAATTGCAACAACAAATACATAAATATAAACAAAGGCTGTGAAATAAATTAGCAATAAATAAGAAATGTGTTTCGTGGATTTATGTGTTGCCGCTGAAATGGAGCTTTTGAAATTCACATAATAATTGTTAAAATTGAAAATTATTGCGAATCAAGTTTGTGCATGAAGCTTTCACAGAAAAGCAATAATAAAAATTACTTAGTTTAAGCCGGCAAACACATAGGACGTTCTCTCATTTGTATTAAAAAGTAGTATCCGCTTTAGAAGTTAAGTAGCTTTCACTAGTCGAGGAAGCTTTTAGTGCAGTAGGCAGATCTTTAAACAAATATGTTTTTATTGTTAAGTATATTAAAATTATATTTCTGAGAAGTGTGGCACAGAAAGAGCTTTTACGTGTTGTTCCTGCATAAATACACAATTTGCACAAAGCTTAAAAAAGCTTACCAGGCGCATAGAGTGACCAACTAAGATCCATAGCCAACTAAAAACTTTAATTTTAGATCGCACAAAGTTGCCTTCTTTATTATGTAGATAAGGAGCTTTAATCGCTCTTTTGAACTTTTCCGAGTTTTTACGAAATTTTCCTGCTAGAATTACAAAATTTTTAAGAACGTAATATGTTCATATTATGTATCATTAAAGCAGCGTTGAGCACCGCCTTTATTATATATTTATATATATACTGCTGCAGAGCTCTCTCCATCTATCGTTTCATTGAAAACTGATTTAATGCAATGATGGACGGAGAGAGCTTTTACTCTGCACGCGTCTATACAAAATGTATAGAAAGCTTAAGAGAGCTTTGCCCGCGGGCATGGCGGTGCTCATCACCGCATTAAAGGGATCAAAATTGTGATTTGGAGCTTGACAAGCATTTGCCTCATTTATTTTTAGTCGTCCCAAATTTATTTTCATTTGTTTTAAAATGATTTCAGCTTGTGTAGAAAACATCATTTTCAATTAAAAATGACTCGTATTAAGCTTTGACTTCGACAAATAGATGATCCTAAGCAAGTGTGGAGAAATCGCGTTTTATTTCAAAATTTTTTACATTTCTCAAAAGCTTTTTCAGAGCTTTCACATAACAATGGTATCAGTGAAAATTGTTTATGGCTAAAAAGTCCGGCATCCTGCTTGAGCTTTGTATCGTCATGACTAATTATTTATCTTCTTTTTTTTTTTTGATTGTATGGCCTACAAAAACTATAAGCACCCATCAAAATGGCATTAAGAATCTTATTCAATGTAAAATTTCATTAGAAGTCAGTTCAGAGTAATTAAAGCTCATCACAACCAAAACCAAATCTGTGCACTAAGCAAATTAAATACGGCTTAAACTGAAGGAAGGTGAGCTGTTTGCTAGCAAGGTGTGACAATGAAGTGATTAACTGATAAAAAATATGTAAACGATGAGACACAAAAAGTCGTCGCATGAAAAAAACTTTAAGCTCTAAATGAAATACATATAAATATGTATCTACAAATGTGTGTATGTACATATGTATAGGACAAAAAATGGCAAATGTTATACCAAATTCTTGAACATTTTATTCTGCTTGTATTTCTGTTTACATCGCTTATGTCACAGCGCTCTTGAACTCTGTTGGAGGTTGAAGAAGGTTCTACAAGCTGCTCTTCCAAATATTTGTTTTTTTTTTACTCTGTTTTGAAGTTACTTTTGTTGGTTGTTGAGATAATGAGTGGAGGCCGAGGGGCCTAGCCGCAGAAAGTGTAACTTGAGGTAAATGCCGTGGCTCTTGTTGTTGTTTTGTGATCTCCAGCTAGCGCTTATTACAGTGGTAAAAGCAAAAATTTAAAACCTTGCGTGTTTGTAAAAAAAAATCCATTTTGAATACTTGGTACTTTTGAAGCTTTTTTTGTAATTTATGATAGCAGTAGTAGTAGTGGTAATTCTTTATTTGTATGTTAATGTCTAAAAAAAATGTTAATACCTAAATAAACAATTCCTACGACTTCAACTTTTCTCAAAATGTCGGTGCGATAATACCGAGCAGCTCTACAGTTTTCAAAATCTCAAAAAGGAAGAAAAATGGAATTTGGAAGTACTGGTATCAATACAATTTATGTACATGCATATGTATGTAAGCGGTCGATTTCTGCATTGCCATATTTCGCCAACTGCTTTTTGCCTACAACATTTCAGTGAATGGCCAATTTGGCAAAATAAGGTAAGTGTTAAACTACTTTAAGCTACCAAAACAAAACCTTATAAATTTATGGGCCAACCAACAAATGACAACTTAGTATGTGGGCTACAAGCTTTTATGAAAACGTTGAGGAATGCCTCAATGAGCGCCAAATTAGGCTGGGCGACGCTGGTGTTTGTACGTGTCATAAATGAAGTTAAAAATGTAAAACAAAACCAATATAAAATTAGAAGAAAAACCACTGAACGAGATTTCGAACACATCGCAAATAAAGCACAAAAACTTGGGTTTGAGAATAATTAAGAAACTTAAATGTTGAAATCAAAAATGTAAAAAACTAGGTGTAAATACATACAGTTCATAATTTTAAGAAAACGTCAGAGTTAAATAATCCGAAAAATTTTAAAACAAAAAATTTAAGAAAAAATCAAAAAATTAAGAAATATTAAAGAAATCGAAATCATCAAAAAAATATAAACAAATAAAAACAAGAAAAAACTTGAAAAGAAAAATATGAATTAATAAATTTGAAAATAATAAATATGCATAAAATCATGTAAAGGGGCTATTCAAGTATTACGTAACCACCAATGCACAGTGGTTAAAATTGGCATTTGGTGTTCACAACTCACTGGAGTCATAATTTTTCACTCAATTTAATGGATGCTAATAAAATTTGCAAGACACCAGTTGAGCCTAATTTTTGCATTTTTGTTTGTTTGTTTTACATTTTTTAGTACAACGTGCAGAAAAAAAGGAAAAAGTAGAAATTTTGAATTAAATCGATTTTCCTGTTCCAGTTAATAAATGCTACATAATAAAGTTACATATTTAGTTAAAAAAAAATAGAAGGGTGCCCCAAAACGAAAAATGTCCCAAGAAAAATTTGAAACGATATAAAAAAATTTTCACCAAAATTAAAACAAAAAAATTGGTAGTTTCTGGTTTTGGGTATGCAAATTTATAGATCATTAAATTTTTGTATAATAAAGTGCAATTTTCAAGTAGCTAAGAGGTTTCGGTAATTTTTAATATTTTTAACATTTCGAGCACATCTGCATGCTAAACGGGGAATAAAAGCGTTTGTTATATTATTAAAATCAACGCGAACTCTTAGCCACTAGCAATTTGCACTGTATTACCCAAAAATTTAATGATTTATAAAAATGCGTACCCAACTACTAAATCACTGCTTTCGTAATACTTGAGTTGCCCCAAGGATAAGTAATTTCAACATTTCGAAAACTTAAAACTTAAATTAAAAGGACAAATTTAAAAGCTGAAAATAGTATATAAGTTAACACAAAAATATTTTAAATTGAATAAAATCGGATGAAATTTTCATAAACCGGCATCGATGGTTTCCCCTTAAAAAACTAATTAGCAATTTGGAAGGTATTAGGTACTAAGCTGCGTAAAAAACTATAACAAAAATTCCATCGCATAAATATTTCGAGAAGCAAAGAGAACGAAAAATTTACTAAACTATGACATTTAAGCAAAAATCACATTTTTTATAAAAAAAGTTTATTTTAAATTATTTAATTTTTCATTTTAATTTTTAAGAACCGGCAACAAAATTTAAACACATTTCGTTGCTTGAAAATTCGAAATGCTAAAGCAAAAAAATAATGACGATCTAATATAATAATAATATAATAATAAGTAAAATAAAAATAAGCAAGCGCTTAAAAATTTTATTTTAAAATTTAAATATTTTACCACACAAAATAATAATAAAGTAAACAATTTCGTAAACAAGTATGTATATGAAAGCAAATCTTAATAACAAACACAAAGCAAACACAAGTCAAGAAACAAAAATAAATAAGGCTAAAAAATTTCCTCAATATACCGGAATACGTGCCGGCAAAATGTGAATTTCCATAGGTTGAATCAAATCTAGCTGGCTCTAATGGATTCGAACCCACTTCCCACTTTTTTGGTTTTACGTTGAACATTTTTTGTCCGCACTTCCTCAGTCTAATTTCGCTTTAATTCAAATAAATAATGTATTTTAATTCACGCAATCAATTCACTTAATTTAATGCGAACAAAAAAACCGAATAGAAGCTTATAAAATAAATTTCAACATTGTAGATCGCCGACGCTAAATAAACAAAATGCAAAATAAAAACAAAAAACAAAAAAAAAACATAGGAAAAAATTAATTATCTTATTAAGTAAAAAATATTTGATATCAATCTGCGCAAATCACAAAACAACAACAAACAACCAGCAGTACGCAAACAAAGTGACAAAGAGGCGGGTGAGCCGCTCGAGAGCTCTGACAAATCGAGTTGCGGGCGTCAGAGGCACCTGAAACGCTGGCGCTGGCGTAATGATGACATCAGCGCACTTGGAGTGGTGGTGGAGCGGAGCGGTTTGATTGCTTTTGCGGATGAAGGTGTGCGCGTGTGTGAGCGAATTCGAGATAAACAAATTCATACGCTTTTCTATACGAATTTCTGAGAGAATGTGTGTGTGTGTGTGTGAATACGTGCTGGAACGCTGATATTTACTTTTGTTTTATTAGAAATTTTTACTACTTTTTTTTAGTTTTGTTAACTTATTTGAAGCGCTTGAAGGGATGTGTGAATATTTTACATATTTATTTTTATAACCATAATTTATGAAAGTTATTTTAAGTGCATAGATAATTACTTTTTAATTGTTTGATTTTTTGTTTTTCACAAATACAGGTTTGCCTTCTAACGAAGCATGAAATGTTCAAGCAATGGATCAGCAGAGCGCATATCGAAATCAAATTCGATTCAAGTTTTAGAATTCGCTAAATAATTTAGAGGACAAAAAAGTACTTAATAGCGTCCCTACCAAAAAGCGCTTAAGTAAAGGTAAACATTTTTGTAGAACAAATTTCAGTGCACAATGTTCGAGTAATTAGTTACTAACTGTACTTTTTCCCATTTAATTTTTTTTTTTATGTATTCTGCTTAAATATTTCAATGTTTATTTTCCTTAAAATTTTTATTTTATTTTTTTATTAGATATTTTTACCTGCTGCTGACGCAAACGATTTGACATATTCACATGTCCGTCCCGCTGCAACAACAACGAGCTGCTGCGTTGCGGCAAATGTTGTTGTTGTTGTTGTTGTTGCTGCTGCTGATACGCTGACTCCTTGACAATTTGCGGCGAATGCCAGTGTAACGATGATGGTAGTGATTGTTGTTGTTGCTGTGGCACATTATTGCTATCACGAAGTAGATTTGTTGTTGTTGGTATAATGGTTGCTGTTACAATTTTTTTCGGCGGTGGTACGGGTGCTGCTGCACCGCCGTTGATATCACAAAAACTGCTCGTATGGCTTACACTTCTGGCATTACGATTACCATTACCATTACCATTACCATTACCAACAGCATTGCCATTGCCATTACTGCTACCACTACTATGACTATTGTTGTTGGCACTGAATTTATTGCTTCTATTGTTGTTGTTGATTATATTAAAATTATTATCATTGTTATTGTTGTTGCTGTTGGGTATTTGCACCCCATTGGTTGCATATTTTGTATTCACACCTGCTGGACTGTTGTTGCCACTGCTGCTGGTTGTGATGATCGTTGGTATTGTTGTTGTTGTTGCAATCGGGCGTGGCTGGACTGCGCTGGCTGCCACTGGCGATGTTGGTGCCGTTGCAACCAGCCCAT